ACACTGAGCTGGCTAAACTCTATAAGGTTTAAATTCTCTAGAAATCTTTAGTAAATGTCCACAAGGTGTTTGTAATTATTTTGTTTATAATATTGAAAATTGTTGTATGAAATCATTTCCTAATAATATGTCACATTTTAATTTATCATATTTATAAATTTTATTTATTATCACTTGTTTACTTCCAAGAATTATATTAACTTTATCAGTACTATTAATTATTTGAGTACTTTCTCCTGTAACATCAGTTATTTTTATATTACTATTATTATTCCATGATTTTATTAAAAAACTCTTAAATATTGTTATATCACTTCCTTTATTTATCAAAACACAAGTTGTTATATTTGTTTCTACAATAGTAATTTGTATATACACAGCTAATGAAAAACTTATCTGATTATTCATCAAATATTTTTTACATAATGTAGTTTGTCTATTATGAATAATATATAATCTTTCTCTTTTTATACTATAATCTTCTAATCTATTTAGAAAACTCATTCCTAAAAGTATATGAGGGTTTATATCCATACTTCTATCTATGTAACATGGTACTAAGAGATATATTCCTCCTATTTTTATTGGTACCTTAACTTTTAAATCTATTATATGTACTTGTCCATCAAAATTTACATACTTATATGATTCAGTTTTATGAGTTATTAGTCCTTTGTTTCTAACCGAAGCTATATGACATTCACTGGCTCCTGTATCTATTAATATATTGGGTCCATTTATATTTTCTCTTCCATTATTATATTCTTCTTCTATTTTCATGTTTCCAGCATTCCTATATAATTTTATTTCTTTTATTTTGTTGATTTCTTCTAACTGGTTTTTATTAGGCATTTTAAGACTTTTTGATCTTTTGATTAATTTTCCATCCTTAAATGTCATGTTATTAAAACATTCTCCTTCATTTAATTCTGTTATTTCAGGTTTATTTTTTGCTATACTAAATTCATATTATTCTGGAATTAAATTTATTTGTTTATTTGGTTCTATTATTTTACTAATATCTTTACATTCTTTATGAACTTCAATTTATAGTTTATCGGAATAAATATTTCCATAATTAGAATTGGTAAATGTATATAAAGCCCTATATTCTATAGTCATGATTTGATCTACTGGTTGCATAATATCATCTCTATGAAGTTTGAAATGTAGTCCTAAAACTTCATTAAAATTTCTATCTTTTATTGATACACAATATTTTGGATAACATGTAAATATAATTTTTTGATATGCTAAATTTCCTTCTATTGTTCCTAAATGACTATTTTTTAAATTTATTATTCTTCTATCATGTAAGGTTATAGTTAAAGGTGAATCTATTCCTTCTCTAAATAGTGATTTAAACATTATTTGTATTCCTGCTAAATAAATATATGGATTTTTTCACTTTGTTTTTTACTAATCTTTGTTAATAGTTCATCAACTGTATTTCTTGTTAAAAGATTTAATTTATTGTCCATAAGTTATTCTTACATCTAAAGTTTTTTCTATTTTGTGATAATCGTTTGCTACTATTCTTCCTCTTTTCCAAATCTTATCAAAGACTTCCCATTTCCCTATTTTTAAGTCTAACGATAATTTTCGTAATTTTCTAAACTTGTTATTGTCAAAAGTGACTTTTAATCCATATCATTCTATTCTTTCATATTTTTGTATATTTATATTATTACTTTCTATTTCTTCAATTTTTTTATTCAGATCCTGATCCATCTTCTTTTGTTTCACTTATATATACTTCTTGATCATAATATTCTTCAATATCTGATATTTCACTTAATTCATCTTTTATTTCTAAATATTCTTTTGTAATATTCTTACTTTCTTTTTATCACAATCAAGGCTTATATAACTTATCTCTCCACAATTTCAACATTTATATTGGCTTTTATTTTTCTTATAATTCTTATTTTTCTGTTGATTATATGGGTTATTTTTTCTTTTATAATACCTTCTTCTAAGTTTTATATATTTTTTTATTAAAATTTCTAAATTTTTTGAGTTTTTTATTTTTATATTTTATTTTATTAATTCTTCTTTCAGGATTACATCCTCATTACACAGGAATTTCCATATCTTCATAACATAGTTTAGTTAGTTTTCCTGATTTTTTCATTAATTATTTTTGCTGACATATATATGCAAGTCTTTCAAATAAAATTTTTATTCTTGAACCTAAAGTCCTAGGTATTCCAGTATTATCTATAACATATTTTTCAAATTATATTTTAAAATATATTCTCCATGAACTTGGTAACTTATTATAATATATGTCTTGGTATACTTCTTGATTTTCATTACTATAAAATTGAACATAATAGTAATTCTAAATTCACAAGTATATTCTTTAATTTTACACATATTACATATTGTTAAATTTATTAATTTTATTCTAGCATTGTCTTTTTCTCTTATTGATTCCTCTTCGGTATTTCTTATTCAATTTTCTCCTAAAAACTCGTCTGAAATATATTCCACTAATATTTTTATACATTGTCTATCTGATTTGATTATTTCTATTTGTACATTTCTTTTTATTAATATTTTTGTATCATTGCTTATTCTTTCCCACTAATTTCTAACATCTTCTTCAAAGGATGCTATTAAAAAATCTATTCTTCTTTCAGTACTCTTTCATGTGTCATCTTTATTATATAAAAAAAATAATATCATCGAGTCTGCCCAAGTTAATAAAGCCTTTTTAGTATCTATTTTACAATTTAAATCTAGTTTTGTTCCTCCATGATTAATTGGTTTATCATAATTATCATTTAATTCAAGCCTATCTTTATATTTATTTCTTTTAGGTGGTTGTCTATCTCTTACTTTATCATAGAATTGTTTATATGATTTATTATATATAGGTGCATAGCTTTCATCTGTATCATGTAATTTTTGTTTAGAGGTTCCTGCTGGATTAAGTCCTCTTCCAGTGTTCATTAAAACTTGATATTCACTTATATCAGTTAAGTTCAATTTATCAAAATTTTCTATTAACAAATCTAAATCTTCATTCATCTTCTTTTTCTTCTACTTTTAATTTTCCTAATGATTTTTCTCTAGTTTCTTCTTTTTCTAATATCTTTGGTAATATATTCTTTCTAAATTCATCATCCATGCTTCCTGTTTCTATCGCTATATTTTTTTTCTATATGTTTCTGTCCTATCTGAGTCATTTCTTTTTCTATAAGTTTTTTTTATCTATTTTCTTATCTTTATTCTTATTATTTTCTTTTAATTTTCTAATCTCAATTTTTAATATATTTATATCGTTTCTTATTTTTTTTACTTCATTTCTTAAATCTTGTATATTATTTATTAACATTTTTATTAATGATTTTAATTCTTTCATATATTCACTTACTGACATCTTAATTTTTTCTTATTTCTAACTCATAAGTTAATTTGCATCTTTTATCTTCTTTTTTATCTATTATTTTTCTAAATCTTCTCTCAACTGTTTCTGGATCTACTAATTCTTCTTTTACTATAGTAAAATATTTACTTTCAAATCTTAGTATTCTCATTTTTATTTTGCTAATTGTCTATTATTTAGTATTCTCATTTCTTCTGGTATTAACATTATATTTCTTATTTCTTCTTGTATTTTATCCATTTTTAAAAGTAATTTATTTAATTTTTGATGTGTATTATCGCTTGTACTCATACTTTTATTTCTTTATAATATTTATTTAATTTTTGATGTGTATTATCGCTTGTACTCATACTTTTATTTCTTTGTAATATTTATTTAATTTTTGATGTGTATTATCGCTTGTACTCATACTTTTATTTCTTTATAATATAAATTAATTTCTTCATCTAAATATATATCAATAATTTTCTTATAAATATATCTTTCTTTTATTGATTCTATTATTAATTTTTCTAATATCTGTCATTTTATTTCTTTAGGTAATTCTTCAATTATTATTAGTGTCATTATTTTTAATTTATTGCTAATTGGTTTTAGAAATATATAACTACCTCTTTCTTCTTCTAATTTATAATAATTATTTATTTTTCTTATTTTTATTTCCATGATATCTATAAATTATTATTTTAAAGATGTATAATTTAATTATTCTTTTAAATGTGTATTATTTAAATTATAAAGCCTAAGTATCAATATGTATCTAAAATTTTATTTCTCTAAATAATTTATTTGTTATAAATTTTCTCATGATCAATATATTTTTGTAAACATTTATATATATTAATTTAAGAATTATAATTTAAAGGTTTTCTTATGATCTCTATGGCCTTGATACCAATAAAGGGGGCTATTTAAAGCGAACAAAAATCAAATAAAAAAAATAATATTAATCAAATAAATTAAATAAAATTATCAAGTTTCAACCAATGTCTAAATTTTTAAGGACTAAAATAGAAAATTTTTATATTATGGTACCTTGTTATGTAATATTCAAATGGAGAGTATTTTTGGTATGAAATTTGTCCAAAGGCCATTTTGGAAAACTAACCCTTTTAAAAAGGTCATTTCCATGTATTTCCCTGAATTGCGTCACCCATTCCCTTGTCATCCCTAAATATTTGGTGCTTGTTTGTGCCCCATTATTTGTGAGCAATGTATTATGAAATAGTGATTGATATTAAAATGCGTAATTAAAAAGGAAAGAAATTTTTTTGATTTACATGTAATATTATTTTAATGGAGAATGTGTAGTTGAAAATAAATACTATAAAAAAAATAATATGGCAAAATGTGAAAGAATGGAAGACAAACAAATCCTGAATCTCTTTTCAATGTGTATACGTGAATAATTAATCAACTTAGAGGTCTACATATGGAAAATAATTTTCTTTAAAGTTTATTTGATTTCAAAAGCCACTATATGGAAAGTTCAAAATAATTAAAAAAAAAAAATATATGGAAAGTAATATTCTTTGACGGTTGATGCTGTCACGTTGCCTATAAACCACTGACTCAAGGAATTGGAATTCCAATTCCAACACGGTGTAGAGCGCGTTCTGGACCGTCAAGACGCAAAGTTAAATTAATCCTAGCCGTCTATACCCCCTTCTCATAATCTATAAATAGGATTGAAGAGCCATTCATTCATTCCATAGCCTGCATCGGGTGATGGACTCCTTTGTTGGGTTTGTAATTTAAATCGGCAATATTGCTTGAGTTCTTTTCCTCTAGATTCTCGTATTTTTTTAATCCCAAAACTTTGGATTCTTAGTTTATCATTTTTTTCTGTGATTTCCAGGTCTGATGATAGATATATTAACAATTATTCCAATAATTTTTAGAAGGATTGGGTTTTTGGTGCGATTGCCTGGTCCAGGAACAAGTATTCCGGTAATTTCTTGATTATGATGGGTTGGATCTTGGGTTTTCTTTTATGTTTCTTTGGTGGTTTTGGCCCGTTTTCTTCATTTTAGAGGTACTTCTTCCTTCCTTTCTTCGGCGGTATTCTTCTTTTAATATTATGGTGAATTCTAATCTTTTCGTAATTTGAACTTATTTCAATTACCTTATTGAGAGTGGAAAATTTGATGGAGTTCTTCCCGTGTAGATACTTTTTATTTTTATTGAAAATTTTGGATATTTATTTATTACTAAATCCTAACGCGATGATATATCATGATTATTATTCCAAGAATCTTTGGCTGGGGGTTCGAGACCAGTTAGTCCCGACGGATCCAATAAATACATCAATTAATTTCATATGTCAGGGGGCAGAATTCAATTTCCAAAACAAAGGGGCTTTTTTCTTTCCTATTTTTCCATTTTTTTAAGGTCCCATCGAAGAAATTATATGCTGTGATGGAGATTTCCCCCATATTCTCCGATCTTTGCAAAAACTTTTTGTTTCTTGCATAAATCCTAACCTGAAAATATCATCATTACTTGTTAAGATGATAGAGACATATGGACAATTATGCCAAGATTCTTCTGAAGGATTGGGCTTTTGATGTTCTGCTATTTCTTTCTTGCTTTGCCGCAGATGTTGCTCTTCGTGTTTTGTGTCTCTTCAATCTATTGGTGATTTGAACTGATTTCGTGTACTGGGTTGAGAGTTGGAAATTTAAATGGTTTATGGAGTTTATCCCTCTTTAGAATTTTTTATCTTTGAACAAACTTTGGATTTCTCGTTTATTTTCAGAATCCTTATGTGGATATATTCTGATTTCGTATCGAAAATTATTCCAAGAATCTTCTAAAGGTATTGGTTTTTTGTGCCAATGCCTATGAAATGAGGTGATTAACTTTTCTTGAAACGGTTATTGGCATGTTTAATATACTAATTCCTTTATTTGATGGATATAGATTCTGAAATATAAAAATCGTGGACGTTTGTTCAAACAGACACGTGTGGTTAATTGGTTATGGTTCCATCAGTTTCCATTATACAGTATCTTGATCCTGAAGGTATTTTCCAAGACTAAAGGTTTACGATCAGAACAAGTGTTGCACTTCAGTTAGACCTTCTTTCTTGCTTACTTCTATTATGTAAGATTTGTGTTGTGGTACAAGGCAGTTCTGAAGTGAAATCCATTCATTATTTGCTGCGGTTTATAAGTTGTCTTTCAAATGCAGTATTTTGAGGGGATCCGTCTATGAAGGGACAGAGAATTTTCTCCTCTAGTAAAAAGTAATAGCATTTGTTGTCTCTTTTTAGATAATAGTATCCTGTCCTTTTTGTTTATGCCTTGTTCTTTTTTCTATATTTATTTTTTATCTTCCCCATTTATTTATCTCCTCCCACCCAGATTTTTTTTTATATGTTGAGTTGAATTTCAGTGGTAGTCTTAGTTTGTGTCTTAGGGGTGTTATAGGTCAGATAATATGAAGGAAAACATATTAGTTCTTCACTGCAACTACATTTGCAATGGCCATTTGTAACCTTCCCCATTTTTGTTTCTAAACGAAATGAAATGTAGGCTTCTTTTGGTCTTTTCATTTAAAAAAGCCTTTGCTTCTTTGATGATGCTTCACTTGCAGACGGATTTGACCTGAAGAGAATACTGCTGTGATGGGGAAACTAAATTAATAGGTTCAAATTTTTTTTTTTCAATTATTTTTTTGGGTGTGTTTTTGGTTACTAATGTTGGCCTTTATAATAAGTGTCTCTACATTTCTAGACAAGGATTTTGCAATGCCTAACTGGTCAGATTTTGATCACTTTTGCTTATCCTTGATTCTGTTTTATTCTTCATCTCATTTGTTTTAGGAAACTTAAGAGAGCAGAGGTTATTTGAAGTTTCCACCTTTAGGAAGTTCATAGTTATTTGCTCTGGTTTGGTTCAGGCTACAATTCATATATTTCAGTACTTCTTGGCATCTGCGTTTTTACGAGTTGCTTTGTTTCTCAGGAACCTGCAGTCTAAGTGGTCTTCAGGGTTATGGTGAATCAATATCTTTACACTGTTTTCTGGGTTTTGTTTGAAATTATGTTTTTTTACAATTGCTCAAAATGTGATCTTCACCTTTATATTGGGATGGAATCCAGTTTTCTTTGGTGCTGCATCATCTTCCTGTGGAAATCCTTGTGGTCAAAGATAATGTATACAAAGGGAATTAAGGATGTAAAGTTTTCCTTTGTATTCCTTGTTCATTTCTGGTTTAATAGTCTCAGTTTGTGTTTGGGAGAGTTCAAGTGGAGATTAATCATTTTATGGGATGGCATGAAGGGAAACCCATTCGTTGTTTCACTGCTGCGGCTCCATTTGCGTTGGTTATTTGAAACCTGTCGCAGTCTCTGCTCACAAACGAAATGTAGACATTTAGAGGTCTTTTAATGTGTAATGCCTCCGATGCTTGCAGACAGATTGACAGGAAGAACACAGTGGTTGACAGGGAAACAAATAAGGTCTTAAGTTTTTTGTGTTTTGGTTTACAAATTTTTGGTCTTGCTGAACGAGTTTGTTCTCCCTGCCTTTTTAAACAAGTCAAGATGCTGTCCACCAGTTTCCTTCACTTTCATGTAAGTTTTTGCATTATGATTAACCTTTCCCATCCTTGATTCTGGATTTTTTATTTTTCTTATTTCTTGCCATCCCATATTACGGATCAAGATGGAATTCAAAAGCACTCTGGATCGAGAATCACATAGAAATTTAACATATGCATCAATAAATTTATTAAAGGGCTGTCGTGTTATAATTGGTAACTGCCTCTTTCCAATCTACTATTATTTTGAATTTTTAATGTAGGTTTAGATTTTCAACCACTTTTCGCTTTGGTATCAATCACCAGAATTCGGAGTTGATTCTACTACAGGGTGTGTTTCGATCCTGTTTGGTAAATCTTGAACTCCTTGTGGGAATTTTAGGAATCCGATGTTTGGATTCAGGTAACATTTGTGGATACTGTGGAATAGTAAGAGTAATTTTTTCGTGAGTTGGAAAAGTCTGGTTTTGGTTGACGAGTTTAGTCTATTTAGCTACAGTCAGACTTATTTTCCATGTGAATAAATTTTGGAGCTTCATTCATCATGCCGAAATTCGTGTCAAGGTGGAGATTGTTAGAATTTGGGTGCGACCCGAATTCTTTGATGAAAATAATTGAGAGTTTTAATTAAAGTGCACGTTAAGAAGAATTTTAATTGGAATACTTTTGGAATCCTATTCGAAGTCTATTCACAAATTCTAGTTGAAGTTCTATTGGGAGTTGGAATTTGTGTTGGACTTAAATATATTACGTACTGTTAACGGTCGTCTGTTTTTCTCGTTCAATTTTTAGAAGCTTTTGTTTGCTTAGAATTCGTTTGTTGTTTCATTTGTTTGAAGGTTTTTAGTTAAATTGGAACCTTTGTGTTTGCATTTGTCTATTGGGTATTTGAATTGTTTCTATAGATTGATCGAGTTAAATTTGTGAATTTCAGTGTGAAATGAAGGGAACTTATTCAATTGCACCAGAGCAGATAGCACTAATCATCATGTTTTTTATGCAATATATGCTTAAATAAGACCGTCCTTATAGAAATTGCCCTCATTAAAGGTTGCTAGCATGCCTACTGGTTTGTCTAAAGGTATCACAAGTTGTTTTTGAAGGTATGATTGAGGATATGGGGCTAAATAAATTGAAAGAACGGAGCAATTCGAAAAGAACAATCAGGAGGAGGAGGAGGGCGGCAGCTTTTGCGACTCCGATTAATGATAACATAGTTGCTCCACCATCAGTAGTGAACGAGATTATGAAGGTCCAAAAGCAGGAAGAGAGCATGTTGGAGAAAACTAGAAAGGAGAGCACAAGTGGGAAAGTGGCCAATGGATGATTATGGTAGTGGTGGAAAAAGAGTTAACAAGACTAATGCTGAAAAATCAACAACTGCTCCTTTCCTGAAAGGGTAAGACCATTGTCTCATATATTCTTTATACATTTACATGTATAAGATCTTTTGGAGTGCTATAATTTTAGATTATTGTATTGCATATGTATTTAGATAAGATAGAACAAAAAGGGGATGTCTACACTAATTGTTTTTTCTCCTTGCAAAGTGCGGTAGTTAAATATAGTATCACATTAACATCTACCCGTGTTTTCTCAAATTTTGGAAATTTGCCGTATTTCAAGGGCAGATTAATGTATTCATCAGAATAGCAGGCAAAAGGGAAGACGGATATCATCATTTCGTGCCACTTTTTCAGGTAATTAATAAAAAGTTTCTGTTAGATCTTTTCGAAATGCTAATATGAGTTAGCCCTCTTCTTTTTCAGGTAATTAATCTAAGAGATAAAATAAAGTTCTTTTTATCCCCATCAAAATTGAGTGCTCTCTTATCAACCAATGCTCCTGGAGTTCCCCTTGATGACAAAAACCTGGTAAAAGGAAATCAGTTTAGCAGTTGTGTTGCCACTGAAAAGGAACTCCAACAATGGTAAGATGAAATTAGTTCGTACATCACATTTTTTTCTCTCATGATGCGGCCTACTAAATGGGTTGAGGTATGTTTTTTACATTTATGGTGCTCATAGTCAAACCTCATTTTTAAGCTTTCTTATAGTGCATGCTTGGTTAAACTGAATAACTTTTTTGCAAGTGAAAGCTCGATATTATTCGGTTAGGAATTGATCAAGTATCGAGTTTTCCATGTTAATTGGGGTTTCTCTGGCGATGACACTTAGTGGAGCACTAGATGGATTTACATCAAGGTGCAAAATCGAATAGCATTTGTATTCAATGATAAGCTCCCGTTGGATTACTGGAAAAATCAAATAGCAGTTGTTTCAGCATTCTAACCCTTCCAACGTCAATTTTGGATGTTGATATGGATGATATTTTTCAAATTGCTCATTACCTAGATATAAATTATCCTAACCCTCCCCATGAAAATCTAACAAACCCTCTGAATCCCGACTTTTTCGATGAGGTTTTGCAAATTCCTCAAAACTAACCACTAGCGTTATATGTTCCTCCTGAAACCCTTTGATAGATTCACTGGGAAGTAGGCTCAGAAATGAGCCGATAAATAAAATCTGGATTAACCATAGAAATTTCTATCAACATTTTCCAACCACTTTGATAGGTAATACTATTATGCATGATTTATGTTCTAAGTTGTATTTTTCATTTATATATATTTTATTTGTAGGTTTTAGTTTTCAAATAAATCATAGCATTTTCTATTTTATTGCCCCAATAACGAGGTATAGCCTAAATAAAACTAATTGATCCATAAAAGAGGGTGGTAGTTAGGCTCACTCTGGTGGACGGGTGAAACAAATCATAGACGGAGGACTTCAAGTTAGAAGTTGGAGGTTATACCACTATAAACCTCCCCCGATCGATGTCAATGCCAATGGATGCTCAAGAAAGAATGCACCATCTACCCACCACACGAGGTTCTCGACACTTATTTGGAGTATATAGCTTTTATTTATTAGATTTTTTTTCCCTTTTTGTGTGTGTATTAATTTTTGGTTCCATTTGCGGAAGAACAACTTTGCTATGGTGAAGATACATAGGTTGCGATAACTCAGATGTTGCCGTTTGGGAGTGATTGCAAGGGCGGCTTTATGATTGTGTTTTCAAGTACAACAAATTTTTAAGTTAACGGTGTATTTTTTTTTTATAAAATGTCGTGGTCATATTAGAAAACATAACACGGAGAATTGATTGACAATTATCATAGGGGTCACATTTAAACTATTACGAAGTGGTAATATTGCAATTTGTAGTGATCTCTTTTTAGCCCACCAATAACTTCAATCATTGAGATTATACATTTAGTTATTTTGGGCTAATATTGCAATTTTATATGTTTTGATGGTTTCTTGGGTCAAGTTTCAATCTAAAAAATTGATCTGCTTGAAATGACCAACACGTTTTTACTTCAAAGTACACTATAAATGACACGCAACTATATTTTCCTGATATTTCATCGATCTTCGTCCACTTGCGATCCCTTGTTAAGCTTGCATATAAATACATGATTATTTATGGTTCAACTTTGACCCAAGATCCCATCAAAACATATTAAATTGCAATGTTAGCCCAAAATAACCAAATGTATAATCTCGGTGACTAAAGTGAATGGCGAACTAAAGAGAGATTACCACAAATTGCAATATTACCATTTCGTAATAGTTTAAGTGTGACCCCTACGATAATATCAATTCTCCGTGTTATGTTCGCCAATGTGACCATGACATTTTGACAAAAACACACTGTTAACCTAAAAATTCATTGTACTTGAAAACATAATCCTAAAGACGCCCCCTACAATAACTCTCGAAGGGTGACATCCAAACTATTGCGGCCTGTGTAGCTTCATCACAATGAAGTTGTTCATCTGAAAAAAGATCAAAAAATCAATAGACACAAAAAGCAAAAAACAAAAAATAATCTAACATATAAAAACTATTTACTTTAAATTAGCGTCGAGAACCTCGTGTGGTGGTAGACAGTGTATTCTTTCATGAGCCATCTATTGGCATTGGCATCAACAGGGAAAGGTTTATAGTGGTATGATGACCTATTTTCAACCCGAAGTCCTCTATCTATGATTTGTTTCACCAGTCCACCAGAGTGAAACCAGCTACCACCTCTTCGATGGCTCAGTTAGTTCTATTTAGGCTATACCTCGCTATTGGGGTAATAAAATAGAAAGTGCTATGATCTGTTTGAAAACTAATACCAGCAAATAAAATATTAATATATATAAAAGAAAAATAAAACTTATATATTCCAAAAAACATTGGTGAGCTTAAAATTTTAACAAACTGACCAAATATTGAAAATTTACCTAAATCACGCATAGAAAAGTATTACCTGCCAAAGTGGTTGGAGAATGTTGATAGAAATTTCTACGGTTGATCCAGATTTCATTCATTGGCTCATTTCTGAGCGTCCTTGCCCGTAAATCTACCAAAAGAATTTTAGGACGAACGTATAGTGCTAGTGGTTGATTTTGAGGAATTTGCAAAATCCCATCAAAAAAGTCGAAATCTAGAGGGTTTGCTAGGTTTTCATGGGGAGAGTTTGGATCATCTATTTCTAAATAATTAACAATTTGAAAAATATCATTCATATCAACATGTTCAAAACTGTCGTTATGAGGGTTAGAATGCTGAAACAACCACAGAGTTGATGGCTGTAAAGGAAGGTAAAATGTATTTGAAATTAGTAAGTACAGGTTGTTAGATACTAATGCCCAATCAAGATCATTCTCCTTTTTTGTTGAATGAGTTCAGAGTTTTTGTAGGAGTTTGGAGTTTAGATTGCTGACCATCTCAACTTATTAGCAAGTTTAAATCTCAAATTCCAGTGGAGGTTTCATCTTGCTAAGCAAATTTCCAACCCCTTGGTAGCAACATTAATATCATTTCTGGAGCGAATGAGAGCTTGTCTCACTGAGTTTCTGTCGAAAACCATTGAAACCAGTGTGGCAATGGAGTCCTCAGGTGAATTGAATGTGGATGATGATCGAGCGGGATCAATTCCCTAGAGCCAAAGGAGGAAGAATTTTTGAAGCAACCAAAAAGAGCAAGTTAAGGCCATAGAAATAAAGAAATTATTGTTCTAGTAGCTAAAACTTTTTTTTTTCATTACTAATAGCTAAAATTTAACACTACCCTCAACATACGCATGGTTAAGAATAGAAACAGCAAGGTGCACTAATAGATAGGAGTGGACAGTATAATCAACAATTGTTCAACTTAGTTTGCTATTATTATACTGCCTATTACCATGCAATTCTCATTAAAGAACACGTTATAAAACTATATTTGTAACTATGTATATCCATAAATGAATTTGTTGCACAATATTTCCTGATCTGGTTCTAATAACATTGGGCAATACATACACGAGGGAAACTGCAAGAAAGTACCAACAGCAGGACACACACTATTGCATCCCTCTCCGATACATTCCAAGCCAACCCCTCAAAAAAAAACCTAGTCTCCTTATTCCGTGAGCTAGGTCTATGCTCTCTACTTCTCTCGTCGCCAAGAAAGGGAAAAAACCAGAGTATGTGGTGAATTTTAAACAAAAGTTTACTCTCTCTCGCCCACTGTCTCCCTAGTGTTGAATAGGCAAGAAGAAGAAAAATGAGGGGTGATTTTGACCAAGTTGAAGTCCATTTGACTAGTTTAGAAAGATAAGAATGGCTTTCCCAGTAAAGATGTTTTAAGACATTTTCCACTAAAAAAAGGACTTCTAAACAAAAAAATATAAAATAATAATAAATCTAATTTTCACCATGCACATTGTAAAGTCATTTTCAATAATTCTCCATAATAATACTTGCCTCCACTTGTAGACCTGCATATGTTGGAGAATTTTCCACAACATTCCTACCCTGTCCCGTTGGTGGTGCACTCCCCACGGAAGGCCAAGAAAGTCATGAGACAAATTCTGAAAATAGAAAGATGCAAAAGTCATGGATAGCTTCAAGAAATATCACAGAATTGGAAAAACCAACCTTGGGTAAATTTCATCTTGGTTGATTTTTGGTTTAAAACTTATTATTTTGAGGTGGTGTTGATGTTCATCTTCATATCACAGAATTGGAAAAACCAACCTTAGGTAACTTTCATCTTGGTTGATTTCTGGTTTAAAAACTTATTATTTTGAGGTGGCGTTGATGTTCATCTTCATATGGCTAGATTTGAAGAGGCTATTGCAGATACTTTAGATTAATCATCTAGTATTTGTTGTTGATAGCGGTAACCATTCCATTGCAGAACCTCTTTCTAACTACGAGAAGCCATTTGATTTATTTGCCAAAGAGAGGCACCTCTCACAAATTGAGGGTTTTAATTAGAATGTTAAGCTTTTACTTGAATTCCAGTAGCCCCTTCCAAGTGCAAATGTTTCTCTTTTTCTTGATGTTCGGATTATCTGCTCTATAATATTTGCTTTGGGAGCAATTCTCCTTAGTTAGAATCTTAAGAAGCGTTTCTTCATGACTATTTTTCCACCGGAGGCAATTTTAAGAAGCACACTTTTCAAGATTTGTTAAAAGTCAATTACATTTTACAATTGTTACTTCCTCTGATGAATATTTTGAATGACTCTCAGTAACTCGATATTAATAATTTTGCTGGTTTGTTCACATGCTTACATGTTAGGTTGCGTTGCTTGCCTTACAATTCCAAGTATTGCTTTCACCAAGGTGCTTTATGTTTTAGGGTAAAGTTGGATTCTTTTTCAGCTTACTGAGAACTGATGAACTTTCTAACTTGCCATTTGATATATTACGGAGATGAACTTAGGTTAGATAATAGCCACTCAGTAACGTTCGTGGCGGCTGGACATATAATTTCACAACTTGGGACTGCATCAGATGCACACTAAATGTTGGAGGCTTGAATCTTGTTCTCACTTTTAGTGTATATTGTTGCATTGATGCTATTGAATTCAATTTTCTATCTACCTTTTTTGGTCTACTCGTGTGTCTGGCTTTGCTTGTGGGGAACAAGAGTAATCACCAGTCCAAAGAAGGGGACAAAGTCATGGTCCTTTATATTTTTGGACACCAGCACTATCTCCTAAGCTTTGTTTGCTGGAGAAGAATGATGCCACGTATAACCTTGTGACTATCGACCGTCAGAAATATATGATACATGCACCATTGGTCTGTCACCCAATTACTGGATTGGAAAGTATCCGCTCAGTGATGTTCGGCTGCTGGACTGTAATAATTCACAGCTTGGGACTGCATCAGACGCACACTAAATGTAGGAGGTTTGAATCTTGTTGGGACTTTTCGTGTATGCTGTTGCATTGATGCCGGTAATTCAATTGTCCTTCTACCTTTTTTGGTCTATCCTTGGTATAATATTGGTCAATGTGTCTGGCTTTGCTTCTCAGGTACACGAGTCATCAATTAGTCAAAAGAAGGGGATAAAGGCAAAGGCATGGTCCTTTATATTTTTGGACAAAGCTTTGTTTACTGGAGAGGAAAGATGCTGCGTTTTACCTTGTAACTATTTACTGTCAAAAATATATGATTACTTGCATAATTACCTCATAATTCTATCATACTGACACATAAACCTTGTTGATGTTCAACTTGACTTTTTGGTCTACTTGGCATTGTTCTCATATCTTCTTTTTTTTCTATATTTCTTCCAACCTTCAGAAGTTCATATGTTTTTGTTCTGGTTTGGGGCAGACCACTGTTCCTGATGTCTTGGTACTACTTGACATCAGCCTTTTTTAAGAGTTGCTCTGTTCCTTGGGAACCTGCTGTCTAAGTGGTCTTCAAGGTGGTGGTGAAGCAATATCTTTACATTGTTTTCTGGGTGAAACTGATTTTTTCCCAGTTGCATGGAATGTGATCTTCATTCTTATACGAATCCATTTTCTTAGTGCTGGTTCATCTGCCGATAGAAATCCTCGTGGTCAAAGATATACGTCTTCTCTCCACTTTCCAAGGTAAGCTAGAAATAGATTGAAATTATGTCAACTGTTAATTCACATAAAAAATGTCAACACTTGCCTTTGTAACTCTAAGATTTGTTTTAAGGTGCGATAACCTTTGATTGTTCAGTTGGGAGCCAGCAGGATCAAAGTTGGCTGCATGTTCTTTGTATCTATGCTGACTGCTCTTATTTGCAATTCCTCTTCATTTCTCCTTTCTTCAAGATATAGAATATAGTTCACTTGGTATAAATGATATGATTCTGAAACATGGTAATGGAGATTGCTTTATCCTCTGATGATATTTGTAAGTCGATATTCCATCCTGGCCATTTCTGTATATGGTTCAATTCAGTTCTCCCCGTGTCAACAGTTCTGTTTGGTTGATTCCTTCTTTAAATACATTATATATATTCTGAGGGTTACAGAGGATGTTCCTGTTGCTAGATTTGAAGAACCTGTAGCAGATATCTATATGATTAATCAGCTTCATTTGCTGTTGACAGCAAAAACAGTTTCATTGCAGAATCTCTCTTTCCAAAGACAGCAAAACTTATTTGATTCATTTGCCAATGATCTTTCTTGACACAATTAAGGGTGTAATTAGTGTGTTTCGTGCAGTCTTTTATTTAGTTGGCTCTCATTTCAGCAGTTGATTTCCATTTGAGGACAAGTTTCAGAGTTTATGGATGTTCAGATCCTCTGCTTTGTAGTATTTGCTTTGGGAGCAACCCCACCCACGTCGAATTCCTAATAAGAAGTTTTGTCATGACAAATTTACATTGGACACAGTGGGAGGCTTGCAAAGCATTTATTTTTTGGACAACAAATGCATACGAGTGAAATCTTTAATATCAGGTAGTGACCTCATTTCCTTAGCAATCTTCTCAAACCTAGTTATGACTATGAAGTGGCTTAAACTACCATTGGGGTTTTGTTTCTCTATCTAGATTATGAAATACCACAGCTCTTATCACTAGATGGATTTCAAGAAAGTCAACAAAGGTGGAGAATTCAGTGAAAAAAGGCTGTCTTTAGGAATATATGTTACAAGGTCCGAAAGGTTTGTGTCGGGAACCCACCCAATTCATAGAAATAGAAGGATGGCAGCCATTAACTCCTCATTCCTTGACACGAAGACCGAGGTAGGGGGAAAAAATGAAAACTGGTGGTCAAATAGAGTGAAATTGGGTATTTTCCCAGTAATTAATTCCGTAACTGCATTCTCAACATAGAAGAAAATAATTCTTGGCTTGCTTATGAAGAAATTGGCATTAACAAGACAACTTGTTGTCCCAAAAAAACAAGCAAAAGCTACCAAGATGCAGGACCGAACTATGTATTTGATGTTATGAGATAACAATGACTTTTGTTTCCACTTTATATCTTCTTAGAGACAAAATGCTTTGTTAATCCATGCATAAGAATATATCTGCACAATAATTTATTTGGACATACAGTAGCCGTAGCAGGAAATTTTGTCCACAAAATCCAGTGCAACTGCCCCCACTTGGCCTCAAGGGCAGCTCTGCCTCAGGTTGAGAAACAGGCTCTGGAGATGTGTAAGAAAAGTGATATCTGTTACTTCCACACTTGAAGATGCTTCATAACTTTCCAGTAACTTCAGTTTGGTGGCTGTCCAAACATGCTTACATGTGTACGTTAAATATTGCTTGTGGAAAAGCTTTACAATTTAGAGTACTGCTGTCACCAAGGTGTTTATGTTTGCAGCTAATGTGGACTCTTTTGCAGCCTACTGATAACTGATAAATTTTCTGTTAGCTATGAATTATTCATGCCAACATTGTGAGATATGGTGGCACCTGGAGTCCCAATCTAAGCTGTTTTGATTCATATCTAGTGGCTGCATCAGATGATACTGACTGTAGGAGGCTTGAATCTTATCGGTGCTAGTGGTATTTATTGCATTAACCCTACTGAAATAATATTTTCTTGTGTTGTATCTGAGTACACACAGCATGGTTAGTTATATTAATTGCTCAGCTTATACTAACTATAACCAGCACCATCCAAGCATGGGATCAGGGACACAAGTGGTACATGACTGACCTCATCAACTTTATCTTGAGCAAAGGTTTAATTACTCACCATTAGAAAAAGGGACAAAGTTAGTGTCCTGGGTGTTGACCTTGGGTACCAGCATCAAGTCCTAAGCTTTCTTTACTGAAGAAGAAAGAGGCATTTGACCCTGGGACCATGTAAGCTGTTTGCTACATAATAAGCAATTGTGAGGAAACATGCTCATTATTGCTCTGACATACGAGCTCCAAGCATCTCTGAGAACTGTCCAAACCAACAAAAGGAAACTAAAGTGCCTCTGTAAAGCACTATCTGAATCACATTCAAATCAATAATTGTATTACATTGATGACGACTGGCAAATACGAGGTTACTAAAGGTGTTTGGTACGCAGTTTTGTTTGCATCAAAGTCTGTTAAATTTAGTTCATAATCTGTCTAACTTAAGCAGTGAACTCAATGCTAAAGTGCCTCATGCCTCACTCCAACGGCTGCATTTTTCTGCTCTTTTCTCGTGAAATTTGATATTCGTTGGTAGAAGTTTGAAATATCAGGTATGATGGGATATCTTGCAGTGAGATTAAAGTTTAGATATCTATTGCATGGATTGAAGATTGCACTTCAGATAATAATACTTTAGTAGTTCCTTGCCCTTTTGCATTTTGATCAAAATTATGCTGAAGTTTTATAGTGAGGATGAAATGCTGAAAGATAAGCAATTTATTTATGACATGTTAAAGCCATTGGTTACTGATATATATGATATTATGATAAAACTGGATCAAGACGTGGTCAATAGCGTCTGGGTGGTGGTATGGTTACAGTTAACGTTTCATTCTACAGAGCGTCGTTCTTTGAGGTGAGTGGTTATCGATCTTCCTTTTCTTTAGATTCCATATCTAACTCCTTTTCTTCTGTTTTTAGTTTTGCAGAATGTATTATTTTTTCCCCATTACTATTTTGTGTTCATCGGAAATGGTACCGTCTAGTTATGATTATTTAATAGACCTATAACTGTGGTTTAATTGTTTTCAATTTGCAATTTGGGTTCTTAACTTGTTGGTAAATTTGTCTAATTGTGTTTTGCGAGAAGCCTAAGATTGGATTGTAGTTGAGGGAGGACTGTGCTGGTCGTCTGAGGTGACCTCATACATGACGATAATAGAAATGTCTCTTGGCTGGAGGTTGATGAAACTCTTATTCTTGGGTATGTTACTTGATTCAATTGAGATTCAAATGTGGTCTTTTATGGAAAATAAGTTGTCCCAGTTCTTTTATGTTATATTTAGTTCCTCTACCATCGTGATATGTTTTAGTTTAACACAGTTTCCAAAGAAATTTATTTTGTAAGGCACTTGATAGGAAATGCCTTAGGTGTTGAAGTGGATTTCTTATCTTTATCATCAGGTCGAAAGTGTGGAATATGTATGTACTTTCATGATAATGTTGGGTGCAATATCATGAATACAAATAGCTATCTGTATCTTGATGGTACATGTAGGAAATTGAAGCTTGGAAGTATTCTACCTGGTGATTAACAAGATTGTTATGTAATGTGAGTGAAGTAGTTGCAGCTATGCTACAAACGTAGTTTTTGAAATGTCTTTGTTTGGTACTTAATTATGTGAATTTAATTAGTCTTCCTGATTATCATAAATGATTTTATTTCCCTCTTGCATTTTTGGTTCATAGTCAAATGCTGCCTAGATCCCAAAGAAACATAAGGAGTTGGTAGAATTATAAAGGAATGCTTGGAACTACTATCATTTTACCAATATTTTCCCTCCATTTCACAATTCTCTCAGTTTTAGAATCTCTCTTTTCATAATAATTTGAATATTTGCTTAGCATAATTTTTTGCAAGTGTTTATAAACAGATGAAAATGAGTAATAGATAGTACTTATAGGTCTTACGAAATATGCACTATTATACCCATGTAGTATGTTTGTAGAACTCCACTTAGAGTTCCCACGCAGGTTATGTAGGGTTGATTGCCAACTAGTTTTAGTAGTTGAGATATCAACAAAGAAAGAAAATGTAGAGGGGAAAGATTTAACATAGTTTATGGATAGTGGCTGTAATTCAATGGTTTGGTGTTAGGATGCATGTTGCATTGTTGCTTCATTCTGTGTCGGTTTTGGTCTAGGTAGTAGACTCTTTTAACTCCGCCTATGTTGCATGTTCGCTTGATACAGCCGGTCCCAAGCGCGATAAAAGAGGAGGGATGAGCTGACATATGGTGCAGTTGCCATATGGATAAAGATCTCGTGTGGAGTATTTTTAATGTTCTCACGTCTCGATTTAGTCATTTCGAGTATGTGATTGATTCTGCAATTAATAGTTTTCTTATACTAATCGCCTTTTTTGATTGCACATATTTTCTCAATGATCGGATTGGTTATATGGTTATATCGTTTGGATTCATGGAAAGATTGATCATTTATTCAAAAGTTGTATGATAACTTGGATTCATACTTTTTGTAGTTTATTAATTTTTGCATATTTTGACATGGTAAGAAGAATTTTTACATTTAAACAATTATTATTTGAGAAATATATGTAGGTCAAGAGCTTTTAAACCTACATAATTCTATTCTTTTCGAGTTTGAGATACTTTGTACTTCAAATAGTTTAGAGAGTGACTGTGTAGGCATGCAAAACAAAAGAGCCATCGCTTTTTTCGATGATTTGCTGAGTCCTTACTTTATCATCCAAACACGTAAATTATTTTTAAATTTCTATCAACTCTTCATCTTCATTAGTGTTGCAATCATGTCTTCAATCTTTCATTAATAGAACACACGTCTCAACCTTTTAACATTGTATGAGCGGTATCCTTTATCGAAAATGTTTTTGACCGTTAAACTTCTAGATGATATGCACATGATGTTTGACCAAAAGGGTAAAACTATCGATGGAAATATTAAATTTATTTCTAGATCCAAACAACTGTTCAAATTAAATTAAGGCTAAATATATTTGCACGGCATTTTAATTGCACGAGAGGTCCATACATTTACTCGCCATTATGTTTATGTCTCTTAACTCTTTCATTGATTAGCACATCTTGTCAGTGACGATGGTTCAGAAATTTTGTTAAGAGGGGTGCAAAGACTTATTTGCCCCTCATATTTATGAATAAACAAAAAGAAAAATACAAACAAAATCGCTACTCGTTTTAAGTATGCTAATAGAAAATTTTGGACAAAACCATCGTAAGCGATAAGATTTACTAATTAATGAAATGTTGAGGATAAAAACATGATGAAATAATTATGAACATGAATTTGACAATAAATAAAGTTTAGAAAAAATTAAGCCCATGTTTGTCATCCATTATTTGGAAAATTAAAGAGTTTTGAATAATATTTTTTTGGAAAATGTGTGATTAAAAATAAAGAATCTATCGATCTATGTGTAGAATATTTCAACAATTGTACAAGTAGATTAATTCAATATTTTATTGTGTGAATGTATGTTGAAGAATGATACTGTAACAAACAATTTAAAATTTTAAAGAAAACAAACAGTCACAAAATGTTTCTTTTTTGTGATGATTTTGCTTTTTCAGTAAGACATCACGCATACGGTGTAAAAATTTGAAGACACAAATGCCACGAAAATTAAGGACATGATTGTCACATTTATTAAATGTTAGAAATCCCGGAGAATATACCCATTATATTATTTAATAGCAAATTTTCTTTTTCTTTTTATTTTAGCGGTAAGTAGGGGAGTAAATTTATTTTTATTTTTTAGTTCTTGCACTTTTTATCTAATAGTAATTTAAACTAAAAAACATAGTAATTTATCAAAAGGTGGGGAATTCTAAAATTTGCAATTTTTCATTTGATGTATAATTCAAAAAATAACTATCATATCTATGTATCAAATATCAAATTGTCAAATGTATGCCACATAAGACGACTACTGACAGTCTTCACTACGAATAGCATTACTCTTATTTATATTACTTAAAAGATTTGAGATGGCAGAAGGCATGCAATTTGTCCATTTGAATGGGAAGATTTTCACATCTAAAGAAATATACGGATTAATCACGTTAATGGTAAAAGAACTTTACTCTCGGCATAGAACCATACATGAACTTAGCCTAGTAACCAATTCGAACATGAACTCTAGAGGTTTGTATAATATTCATACATGAATTAACTACTGTCAATCAAAATAAAGAAACAATCTACATAACAAATAGAGTGACTACGTAGCAATAACGTGACACATAATTACCAAGTTAATTAGGCGAACAATACAAGAAATTTACCTCCTGTCTCAAAGTTGAATTTATGTGTGGTTTTTTGATACATCGTCCATGGGATAAAGCTTATGCATCATTCACGTGACCAATTGTCAAGTGTATGTCATGTCATTGTCACAGAAATTCCATTTACTTCGTGGATTTTTTCTTTAGTTTTGACCAATGAAAAGTTAATTCATGTATGGAAGTAATACAAATGTATGAGATCATGTATAATTTTGATAAGAGATTGAATTCATGCATGATTTTCATACAGGAAGTAAAGTTCAAGTACCGTAATTAACTAGAAATATACTCGGTCTTTTATCAAAGGTAGGGATGAACATGGTTTGGTTTGGACGATTTGAAACAAATTTTAAAACCAAACCATTTAAAATGGTTTGGAATTTTTTCAAACCAAACTAAATAACTTCAATTTCTTTCTAAACCAAACAAATCCGAACAATTTTTTTCCGATTTGGTTCGATTTAAAACCACAATTTAACAATAAAAAAAATAATATATATCAAATAAGTTAAACCATAAATATTAGTCTAAAATTTCACGTTTAAACATACATTGTATTATTAAAAACATTACAAATCAAAGTTTAATAATTATAATAATTATAATGCAACAACATAATATAAATATTTTATAATCTTACTCTTAATGTCGTCCATCTGCAATTTTAATATATGATTCATTCTCTTCATAAATATAAAAAATATAGTACATGAATTCATTTATTATAGTTAAATGATATAAAATAACTAATAAAAGAAAATGAATAAAAAATATTCAAATACCTAGCTACTGTGACATTTTGTGATCATCCAATATATTTACTCCATCTAAATATTAGAGAATTACTTTAAGCCAATAATTATTAGAGCAAAACAACATAACTACCAATAAAAAACATGGAGAAAATTATCAAAAAATAAAAGAATTTGGATAATTGGACTTGAATTAGGCAACATTTGAGAAAATTATTAGTAGAAAGAGATGAAATGTGCAAGTTTAAATTAAAATCTATATTTAATTGTGTGCTCAATTATAATAGACGATCGATGAATATGGTTTAGCAGTAGGGGGGGGGGGGTGTTGCCTAACTTGGAGAGGTTGCAAATTTATGGATTGCGTTGTACGATAAAAATATTGTATGAGCTAAAGCATATTAGATCTCATAAATTAAGAAAAATGTTGGTGGAAAGTTTGAATGATGCGTTCATTTTGTTTGACTTTGAGCATACAAAAGATGATGTAGAAATTAGTATACTTTGTCAACTAACATCATTGGTGGTTAGATTTCTACCCAAATTAGTGCACATTACAAGGATCTTTTCTAAAGGAATTTATATCTTTAAGAACATGACACATATTGAAGTTTCAAATTGTGACAATTTAAGGTCCTTACTCTCATCTTCAATGGCCAACTCACTTGTGGCTAAAAGAACTTTGGGTGTCTTCAAATGTGAGGCGATTGACGAGATTATTGGAAGAGAAGAAGATGACACTTCAAAGATTGAAATTGTGGAAGAAGAATTTTTTCATGATTCGTGATGATTGAATTTAACACGACTAAACTTGAAATAGTGCACTTTACTGCTAGTAATATCATTCCAAGAAAGATAATATTTGAAAGAAATTTTAGAAAGGTTCACATGAAAGAATTGCAATTAATACACCCACCCAAGTTGAGTTACAGCTAGCAATATGGTAGGTTAAAGAAACTGGTTCGTGAGTGTAAATAATAAAACTTAGTTAATTTAACAATTTGTTTCAATTATTCGTTTCAGAAAAGTTTCATTAGTTAGAAATTTCAACAGATAGTTTTAGACACCATCTTGATATATGTGGTAAATTCCTATGGAAAATATCAACGAGCTCCATGCCACAAGTAAAATAATCCACTATCAAAGAATCAAAAATACAATAATTTCGATTTTGAAATTTCGCAAAATTAACAAAAACAATCAAAGCAAATAAAGAACAACTCCTTCATTTTCTTTCTTCTTTTGACTTGTTGGGAAAGTGGAATAAAACTTTCCGATCTTGAGTTTTCACTATTGTATTCGACCGCAACCATTACTTGAATTAAAATTCATCAGTTTTAACTCACACCAATTAATCTGATCTTTGATAGGATTATATCATTCATGCTCATGTGTGCTCTCTTCAATTACGGTTGAAAAACATGATTTTTACTTTGAGATATTTCAATGGATCATCAGTCGAATAAAACTCACTGAAGATGGTCAGAAGACAGGTTCACCAGGCAAAGGTAGATTTCTCAAAGCATTAACCCGTCCCCTAATGATTTTCTTTACCTATGTAAAGACTCATCCATGGCACGAACGTTCCTTACCTAAATTATGACAGTTGCACGGTAAGAATTCTTAGATTTTGTTTGATATGGTAAATAATTAACTTAAAGGAAAGTTTTGATTTGTTAAAATAATCTTCATTCTTTTAATTATTTGACCAATCAAACCATTCCAAGATGGTAAATATATATATTGCTATATATGCTATTGTATGGAAGGTAGAGATTGCATCTTGTTTAGGATATGGAAACCCTAAATTTCACAGTCAAGAAATTTGTTTAACCTATAGCACCCAGTCAGTTAGTCATGACTGATTGATTTACCTATTTGGACTTCACCAATGGAACACATTTTTGAAACATGTTTTGAGATTTAAAAATCATCCTAATTTAAGTGAGCTAATAAATAAGTAATGAGTAAAAATATAGAATATACTTTACTTACAATCTCTTCCTTTGGCTTAGCTTAATTTCAAAAACATCGTTTGAATTTTTAATCACTTTTGTGAGTGAGTGTAGAGTTTTGCAAAATAAGAATATGAACTATTTTCCCACAGTTAGTTCTCACATATAACACATAGCTCCCTCTAATTCAATTGTCCTAAAACTCATGTTTTTGTTATCACGATTTCACCATTCCTCAATAAATCTACTACTTTCCTTTTTCATTTTTTTGTTGAAATTAAAAGCATACAATATAAAGCTAAGGAGCAAATAGTTAGATAGAGAGTTAGAGTTAGAGTTAGAGTTAGAATGATAGAACCAGCCGATTAATGAACTTCTTAGCACGCAGAAGGTTGATTTAGACTGGCTGTCTAGAGTTGGAGTCTCACTGTCTCAGTATCTTTCTTGATTTCCTTTGTTGGGTCAGACACCACTATCCCT